TACTTTGAATGACCTTAGAGCTTACATAAATCAAGCAAAGCGAAGGGAAGTGATTATTGCGAAAGTTACCTATAAACCGTCTAGGGCCGGAGTTGGCGGTACGAGATCAAAAAGAGATCGCGTACAAAAACGCCAGCTCTCTATGCTACTTTCCATATTATGGAAATTATTTAACGAAATAATTTGAGGGAATGGTTTTATATATCTTTCTATACTATTGGAGACTAGTACTATGATCTCACACGATTTTTCCATTGCGCGACATTCTCAGAAAACAGGTAAGTCAATGATGTAATTCCACAGGAGCTTTCCCGAGGAAATGAGTCACCAGATTGCTATTGTTCTTTGGTCGTGTGAAAGTCTTGTGAGATTATGTGATCTTTGCAAATATATATTAAAAGCTGATTTTCGAAGAGAGATTACCGGCAAAGTTTGTCACTAAAGTTTATCACTAAGGTTTGTCAGTAAAGTTTGTAGGTGTGTTTTTGGATTTAAAGAAAAACTCATGTAATATAATGTTATAAAATAATGAATTGTAATATTGAGGATGATGAAATTGTAATACAAAGATATACCAATATCCAAATCTGAAAGAACATTAGCATATCATAAGCAATATTGGAGCGGAATTCAAAAACTAAATGGGGATGATATCAAAACAGTTATTCGAAGATAAATTTTTGTGAATATTGTTTATTCCATTTGTCAACCAGAGGACACATATCTATGATGACTCATATCGATGACGAAATTATCAGAATAAGATACCTATTATCTATAAGATACCTATTATCTATAAGATACCTATTATCTTCCATAATTTAAGAGGATATGACAGTCACTTTATTATGTAAGAGATTGGTAAATTGCTAAAAAGCATACATAAAAAACGAAAAAAGTGAAGAAAAAGAGATGTAAATAAATGTAACATAAAATAACATGGAAAAATACATGGCTTTCATGTTAGGGATGCATCTTGTGTTTCTTGACGGTTTCCAATTTAGGAGCTCCAGTCATGATTAACTGGCAAGCAATCTGCCTGATGAAAATTCAAACATACATCAGAACTCTTAAAAATTGAACAATTCAAGCTCATGAAACAAAAAAGAGTTGATCAATACAATTATATGAGCAGTTTTGATTAATTTGATGGAAAAAAACTACCAGGCAAAGAGGATTTTTACAGCATTCTGAATTACGAACACATAAATCGATAGAGTAAGGAAAAGAGGAGCTAATGAATGACATAGATAAGAGACACCCTTGGCAGTTGGTTTTGAAGCATATTCTTTCAAGATCAATCTAATATTCTTAAAAGAGCCGTTATTCCTGGATGGGGGGACTGGGGTCTAATGGCGGACACACGCACCGTCATTAGGCTCTTCGTATTTCTTATTCTTCTAGCCCATCTAGCGGAGCCTAGGTTCACCAGCTTGATTTACAGGACGGCTAAAGATACTAACCTGCCAGTCGGACCATCTCTCAAACTGGAACTGGTTAAATTTCGCCGGAAACATCGAGTTAAGTTCGCTGTTCAGAAGACTACTAAACATGGGCCTGTTATTATATGTCTGCCCGAAGCAGCGTTTGTCCTGCGGCCCGTCGGACTAGAAAACATCATTAGAAGTGGTGACGTTCACCCTCTACCAGGACCCTGTTTAATTCAAGACCAGCAAAGGACTTCTGACCGAACCCGACCAACAATTGCGTATTCTCCTTCGGCTTTGCGTAATTTGGCTGCCTCTATTAATAGCGTCTCTTTGCGTCCTGAATTAAAACACCGACTCCAAGACCTGGGCATTCTACGCTTTCGGAATACCTTCACTCAAAAAAACACATGCCGATTCCTGTGATTTCAAGACCCTGTCAATCCAGGAATATTTACAACTCAAGATCAAGAAATTTAAATAATTGTGTCTCCATCTTTACTGGTGATTATGTTAATTCTCGTAGCTGTCCTTTTGTTCCGCGAACAATAGGAGAGGACGCACGATCGATTCCGGTCAGGATCACACCTCGCAGCGCAGTGCGTGGACCCAGTAAACCAGTAAATCGTCAACGAGCAGTGAAAGTAATCAATCTAACTAAGATTACTTCTCAAAACGCCCCAATTACAGCTTCCCAAGTTTCTACATGGCAAATGCTCGATCGGTCAGGGACAAACTGGACGAGTTGACTGCTCAGCTTTTAACGTTTCACATGGATATTGCAATTATTACGGAGACTTGGCTGCATGACTACATCGATAATAACATCCTTACCATTCCAGGTTACAACATCGCGAGACGTGACCGCCACAACCGAATAGGGGTGGCGTGTGCGCGTTCGTGTCTTCAGAGATACCTTTCAAGCGTAGATCTGACTTGGAGTCTCCAGAACACGAGTGTTTGTGGCTATGGCTACGCCCTCATCGTCTACCACGCCCACTATCTGGTATTATATGTGGGTGGTGTATTTTCCTGTGGCCTCTGCGCAAGTGCAGCGAGATCGCACAATGTAC